GAACTCAGGTCCTTGCACTTGCGAGGCAGGAGCAGAACCACTGAGCTAAATCCCCGGCCCAGAACGCTTTTTATTTAAATGTTGGACTGTCACATCTACCGAGCCTTTCAAGATGATTTTGATATCTTTTTCCCCTAGGAGCTCATTACCTGCGTCTCAGGAAGACAGCACTGACACATACCGGCTCTCATACTGAAGATCTCCTTTCGGTGGGAACTCAGCAAGCTGGCTGTACCATTTTCAAATCAGCTCACAGGTCTTCGGTATGATAAAGCCATTTTATTCACTGCAAGTAACTCCAACAGTGGCTTTCATTTTTCATTACTTACCAAGTCCTAAAAGATCAACAGTGGGCTCTGCAGCTTTTTTAGGGCTGGTACTTTTTTTAGGCTCCAATTGTTGATCTTCTTTCTTCTGTAGCTTTTAAAGTAAATAATCAAATTTATTAATTTTCTTAAATAAAGTAAATATTTAAGTCTCAATTAACTCTACAAACTTTTTAAAAGGTTAGTATAACAAAACTTATAAAACAGTGAAATGAAGCCTTGAGCGTGTACACAAAACACTAGAAAACGTGGTTCTTTTTTTGGAGTGCTGGAACTAGGGCCATCTCCAGCCCCAAATACGGTCCTTGAACCTGCAATGACCGTCCTTACACACTGCAATCCCAATAGTAAATATGCAAACTTAACTCTTCACTGTTCTTTACCACAGTGTCTGAAGAAATGTGCTTATTCCTTCTTAGCGAACATTAATGTACTGGTGGTGAAAGCTAGGGAAGGCCCTGGAGTCTTCATGAACTGCGTCAGTCCCACACCTCAGACACCACTGAAAAAGCCAGTGAAATGGTATTTGCGGTGTGCTATGGTCTAAACCTCAATGCTTCCCAAAAGTTGGAAGACGAGCAGATCACGGGGCACTATTACTCATCGGTGGTCTGATCCACTGGTGAGTTCAGGGCTGACTGTGCTATCAGAGCACACAGCCTGCTGGGGCGCATTCCCTGAGCTGTGACGGAGAAGGGTGTTTTCCTGTCTCTGACTCCTCCCCTCTCGCTCTCCTTCCTGGCTGCTCTGCCACCTTACACCATGTCTCACTGCCTTGGCACCAGCCTCCCATGGACTGAATCCCAAACAAGGACCCAAACTGAACCTCTCTTCCATTAGGGTGTGGGTTTGAGGTTTCATCCCAGCAACTGGAAAGTTGACTAGTATATTATCTTCTTCCTCCTGACTCTTCCCAAATTATTACTTTTTCAGTTTAAATTCTCAGGAGACCAAGTCACATCTGTACATTGCAAACTCTTCTAAAAATATATATAGGACATGGCAACTACTATATTCTCACATCTAAAATCCATGTCTCTATGAAAATAAAACATTCATTGATCCATTCTCACAGTATTCCTAAAGACCATTTCTACTGTCAAGCTTGACAAATTCAGAACTTAGTTGTTATGAGTTCACTTTCTGTTACTACTAAAGATGTGCACTCCATTTTCTAGGCTGCCCAAGCTAGGCTCGAACTTCTTATCCTGCCTCCGCCTCCCAGCATACTGGGACTACAGGTTTATATGGCCCTTCGCCTGGCCCACATGTGTAATTTCTAAGGACATGTATCCACCTTCCTTTTTTCAGTCATTATTATCTCCTCCTATATTTTTAAATCAATCTGCCCACTGATTTAATACTTACTAAATACCTACCATTTAGGTAGACACCAATTATTTCTTTATATACTTATTCTTTTTTTTTCTTTTTTTGAGACAGGGTCTCACTATGTAGTTGAGACTGACCTGGAACTCACTATGTAGCCCAGGCTGGTCTCGAACTCACAGCGATCCTCCTGCCCCAGCCTCCCGAGTGCTGGGATAACAGGTGTGTGCCACCACGCCCAGCTAGATACCTATTCTTTAATAACCTTCTCAATAAATATTAGCCCACAATTACATGAAGACATAATTATCCAGAAGTTTAACACAATCTCATATTCTCTATTCTTTCACTTTTATCACTTCAGTGTTTAACCCTCCTGTGTCAGTGAAGACTCATCTTGCTTAGCAAAAGGATTTCAAAATAATCTCAGGAGCTGGAGGTACAGTTCACTGGTACAGCACATACCTTGCAAGCTAGTTTAAATCCTCAGAACCATAAATAAATGAATGATTTCAAAGCATGGGGTTTTTGTTGTTGTTGTTGTTGTCTGAGACAGGGTCTCGCTGTATAGTCCAGGCTGGCCTTGAACTCATATGTAGCCCAGGCTGGCTTCAAACTCCCAGCGATCCTCCTACCTCAACCTTCCAAGTCCTGAGATTATAGGCGTGCGCCACCAAACCCAGCTGAAAACACAGATTTTAGTAATGAAGAAAGCAATGCTTCTCAACTGATTAAACTGTAGAATTTCTTTCCTCCTCCCCGCACCTCCTTTCCTGCCTTGTTTCTTCTGTTCATTCACTGCTGCACACCTGGGTTACTACAAACATTCAGTCTGACAAGGAAATCTGAGAACCCAGTGGACATGCAGATGAAAACTCCAAATGTTCCAGGACAGCGCCTTAGCAGCTCCCTGGGGAAGGTCCCACCACTGCATGCAGTACTATGGGGCTGCTGCTTACGCACACCAGGAACTTCAAAACCAACTGGAAAGCCTTCAGATAATTTGGACAGACTTACTCACTCTGCAAATTGACAAACTCGGACTCTGTATGTCAAGTGGGAAAAGATTATCTAAATTCTTAATTTTATACAATCCAAATTTAGAATTATTTCTTTAGAATAATACTTTACTCAGTTCTTTCACAGAGTGAAGCATTAAACAGTATTCACACCTGCGAGGAATTCATTCCTAGTCACATTCTGTGGTCTAAGAATGTAGAACCCTTTTGATCCAAGATGATTTTAAAAAAAAATTCAAATCCAAATTCTGGTTGATGATGCCTTTGCAACCAAATTAAAATTACCCTTTTCAGTACTGCTGACTAAAAAACTATCTGCCACTGTTTGAAAGGAGGATAAAAGCCAAATCAAACAACCAACAGGTCCTTTCAATAATTTCAATTCCTAGTCACAGAACTCCCACAATACAGAAAATCTTTCCTTCCAAATGTTCATGTATCTACGTCCTAAGGGTTTCTCTTCTTTAGAGATTTCAGTCCCATCATAATTTAAATTTCCACAGAAAATATGTAATAGAAAACATATGTACAGTTGTGCAGGGTACAGGGAAATGTGATGGAACAATAAGGGAATATCCTAATCATTTCATCAAACTGCAGATGTGACCACCTGCCATCTATTTTGTAGACTACAACTAGAAAATGTAATTAAAAGGGAGGAAGGAAGGAGGAAGGAAACAGTGCACTACACAACATAAGGGTATGTGTGAACTGTTTTGCACACACATGTGAGCACAAGTCTGGGTCATAGCACATGTTGTACCAAAGCGGTAGGTGAGAAACACTGCTCTAGAGATTTCTTTTTTGCTCCCATACTGGGTCAAACTAAGAATGAGAAACATCTATGCCATAAACCACACTACCCCAAACAGAGTTGGCTCTTCTGGGTGAATTTCAACAGTCACAAATTACCCTTAGAGCTGCTATCTGATAGTTTGCCTCACAAAGCAAAAAGGCAAAAGGATCAACCACTTTAAATGCTACCTTGTACCCTTCCATCCTCAAATCTTGCAGAGGGAGTGACTTAAGCCCATCAATGTGTGGCAAACACAACTTTTGAGATAACTCTTCTGTCTTCATACTAATCCAAGTCCTACCTTGAATGCATTAATTGGGATCTTACAAAAGTTGAATTCAGATGATACTCTTCTTTACATATAAAGTTAAAAATAAGAAATGTTTTATTTTAAAATATTCAATGACAGATTCACCTAAGCACCAAACTGCATAATTAAGCAATCTTCCTAAAAAAAAAATTTTTTTTTTTTTTTTTTTTTGTTAACAGGGATCAAACTCGGGACCTTGTGCTTGCAAAGCAGGAGAGCTAAATCCCCGGCCCTATCTTCCTAAAATTCTATACAAAGTAATATTTAATCTTTTAAAGCCGTGTGTGTGTGTGTGTGTGTGTGTGTGTGTGTGTGTGTGTAGATACAAATTTTCTGTGTAATGTTCTTAAATGACTTAAAAACTGAAAATTAATTCCCATTTATAATTAATGTTACTGATCTGTGTAAAATGACAGAAAGTCTTTATTTTTCCTAGTCCTAGAATAAGTAATTATATCTAAGAATACAGAGTCAGGGGATACATTTTATCTTATACACCATTACTATGAAGGTTCAAAAAAACTAAAATGTGGTGTGAGGATGGAGCTCAGTGACACAACCCTGCATATCAAGTGCGAAGTCCTGAGTTCAATCCCTGATACAAAACAAACAAAAACAACAATTAAAATGTGTGATTCGGGCTGGGGATTTAGCTCAGTGGTTCGGTGGCCTGCCTTGCAAGCACAAAGACCCGAGTTCAATCCCCGGTACCAAAAAATAAAATAAATTAAAATGTGTGCTTCTATAACACAAAGATATAGACTCAACATTTAAAAAACTTAAATACTCGAGTGTTGTTTTATCCTATGATGTTGTACATTCAAGATCAATGACATTTCCATTAAATTGAGAGCCAAAGCCTATTTCAAAAAATTACTACCTCCAGCCATTAAATCCTGTCTACCGCTGGGGCTGCTCCAGACTGCCACAGTACAGCTGATGAGACGGGTACTCAGGTCTTGACTCAAGAGGAAGAATGTCAATGCCTTAGCTACTTAGCTAGTGAAGCAGGAAGACAGCTGAAGCGATAATCTCCTCTCCTTGCTATACTGTATAATCCAGTGCTGCAAAATCAAACACTTAGTGTTATCAAGCTAGGAACAGTTTTCTTCTTTTCCTTCATTACAATATCCACAGCAACAAGGAAATGTGATGTCCTTCAAATAACAAGAAGGGAGTAGCAATACCCTATGTTTACCCTGAAAACCCTATCCCTTGGCCAAACTGGTCTACTTAAGTTTCTTCTACTTCTTTAAATACAAAGCATAGAAGCTTAATGTCAAAATTTAGAAGATTTAAAAATAAAAATACTGTCAGGAGTGGTGGCTCATGCTGGTAATTCCAGCACTTGGGAGGCTGAGGCAGGAGGATCTTCACAAGTTCAAGGCCAGCCTAGGGTAGAGTTCAATAGGCCAGCCGTAATTATACAGTGAGATCCTGTCTCAAAAATAAACAAATAAATAGCAACAAAAAAAGAATAAAAAATATCATCATCATGCTAGAAATTATGAACAGGGATTACTGAGTGGTGAAGTATCAATGCGTTGACAATCACATCTTCCCTCATACAGCGGTCAGCCTTTTGATAGCTGACATTCAGCTCCGTCACAGCAAGCAATATGCATAATTTTATTTTAAAT